CAAAGGACTACTGATTTAAAAGATAAAAAAAAACATATTACTGACATAAAGCTACACATGTGAGCCCGCAGAAGAGAATAGAGGACGTAAAACCATCTCCTGGCACAATTGGCCATCTGATTTTAAACAATATGGCCCAGAGCATATCCTGAGGAAATCACAGCCTCTTTGACAAATGGTGCCAGGAAACCTTGTTAACCACACACAGATTGAATCTGTACCTGTGCCTCTCACCTTGCACTAAAACAAAATAAAAATGGACCAAAAAATTAAATATTAAAACAGAAAAACTTAATTTGCTGGAGAATAAAATACATAAAACTGTTGAAGTCACTCTGAATATAGCTCAAATTTTACCAAAAGAAAAAAACTGACAAACTGGATAGTTTCCACTAAAAAAATTCTGTTCAATAAAGAAAATAGCCAATAGAGTAAAGATAGATGGTTTAGAATGGGAAAAATTTGGCAGCTATTACTTGGACAAATAATTAATATCTAAATTATATGAAGAACCAAAGACATTATAGTCCCCAAAACACAGACTCAGTAAAAATGGACAATTGAAATGAATAGACACCTCACAGAAGAAGAAATATAAAGAGCCAAAACAACATGAAAAAATACTGTCTTTTTTGTCATCAGAGAAATGCAAATTTAAATAACACTAAGTTGCCATCTAACTCCAGGAAGAGTCAATATCACCAAGAACTAAAAAAAAAAAAAAAAAAAAAAAAAAAAAAAAAAAAAAACAACTAGCGAAGTGTAGGAAAATATGAATCTTTTTAACTTACTGATGGAAGAAGAAACTATTACAATTACTGGGAAGCAGTATGGGAATTTCTCAAAACAGTAAAATTAGTGATTCCATTTGATCCAGCAATGCTCCTTCTATACATCCTCTCCAAAAGTTAAACTTCACATTACAAAAATGTTTTAATACTCATGTTCATAGTAACACAGCTCATACCAGAAAATCTTGGAAGCAACCTATATGCCCATCAATAGATGAATGGAGAAAGGATATTTGGTATATATACTCAATGGAGTAATATTCAGCCAAAAGAAGGATAAATTTGAATTATTTGCAGGAAAATGGATGAACCCTGACATCATATTACTGAGTCAAATTAACTATGCACAAATGTTTTTCTTATTTGAGAAACCCAGGTACAAAAAATTGAAATAGTGAAACTTACTGACTAGAGAACATGGATGAAGTCCTTTTGGAAATCAGAGTATAACATAGAGATAAAGGGAAAGGGGAGGCTGTAAAGGTGATCCTGAATTAAATAAGATGTGATTTATATACAGGTACCAACTTCTCATGAAGGATACATGAATTTTATTACACAATATGTACTATTGGAAAATAAGTACTTTGTAAAAGAACAGTGCTGTGCCAGCTGATATATGGAAGTCTGCTGATGATGACAGTATAAAATTTTGAGTCATAGAAAACAGAAAAGATAAGTTACTAGGACAAGGTACACTGTCTAGGTTGACGGCAGGAAAGTCTCTAAGAGTTGAATGACAATCTGGCTGAATAAATGGAGTTTTTATATGGTGTAGTATGTGGCAAAGGAGTACTGGGTTGGCAAAGTGCAGACCTCTCTGTAATGCATTTTTCATATTGTCCTAACCCTTGTTGAACTTTCAGGACCAAAAACACTGTAACATAAGTTGCATATAAAATAGAAAAGCTGAAAAGATAATTTACTTCAGTCTCACAAAATTCCCTTGTGTGTTAGACACAGATATCTTGATGCATTAACTCTTTCAGATACCTGGTTCACTATTCATTGGGGAAATAAATAAGTCATATTTACTTTTCACTCTATGCTGTTTCTCATCAGCATTAGTGCAGTACCTCATGACTGCCCAATACATGCTTGGAAGGTCTGTGTCAGCAGAGATATTGAAGGTTGAGTATTTTAACACTCTGTCAACATGGAAAGCACTACCAAGTGATTCAAAAAGAAGCTGAACATCAAAGAGTTAAGAAAAAACATAAACAGCTGCCCTGGTATTATAGAAAATATAGACCATCACAAAGTTGATAGCAGGGGTCACTTTCACCTCCATTCATTCAACACAATTACTAAGTATTTCCGGTTTACATACAAGACATTCTTCTAGCATAGACCAGAGGAAAAAACACCCAGAAACACAAATGAAAAACCAAAGTCTCACCCTCCCGGATTTTGCATTCTACTACAGAGATCAGAGCAATAGAGTTGGTTAGCAGTTTCCCCTATTCGTGAAAAGTGTGGTCAGAATGAAGAGGGCAATTAAAATTTTAAATAAAAGCCTACCACGGGTGCCTGCCAAAGCCAAGTGGACGTGTCTTGCAGGCCCAGTAAGAGATCTCTTCTCCATTTATAGAAACTCCTGGCTTTGCTGCCTTTGTAATTGATGACTGCAATATAATTTCAAGTATAACAGGATGTAGGACGCTTCCTCCTTTGTATAACTGATAACTTTCCTTTGTATAACTGATAGTCTTATGATGTAACCTGAAATGTTCAAACTCCTTCATCAACCAATGATGTCATCAACCCTCCAATCAAATGCACCAAATCTCCCTATGTACATTTCAGCTCACTTTCCCTTTAAAACCCCTGAAACCCCGCCTAGTGGGGCTCTGACTCTTGGAATCATCCTAGTCAGAAGCCTGCCAGTGTAATAACCTGCCCTGCTTCACTTCTTGGTGTTTGTTTTGTTTTGTTTTGTTTTGTTGGCATGTTTGGTCTGTTTTCCTGCAGCAAGAGCAGAGCCATTCTCTTTGTGTACATCATATCTGTTTTGGTGTTCATGCTACCAAGCTGGAGTCTAGTCACAACACAGATGTATGGCCCAAAAAACTGCAACTGTTTAACATCTGAACTCTGACAAGAAGAGTTTGCTGACTGCTATTCTAGTCCATGGTACACGTTTTCCTTGGTCTCTTCACTCCACTCCCCACCATCTATAACCTCTCTTGAGCCACCTCCAGCCTCATTTATTGCTTTACAATATTTGTCTGCAACAGCTCTTCACTATACTGTAAAACTTCCATGACTGACTTGGCACACTACTACCACCTCACTTTCTCTTCTGCCCCAAATGTGTGGCACACTGACCATTAAATAAGTGAAATGAAATACAACTTAGAATCCTACACACACACACACACACACACACACACACACACACACACACACACACATATCCTTGCTATATCTGTTCATTGCAGTTAGATCACAGTTAATCTTTGGTCTCTTTTATGCACAAGAAATGTCAATGCCATTGTTGAGCTCAGCCCACTTCCCTGCCCTCATTTCAATACGTCCACACATTCTTACTCTCCATGCTTACAGCTCTCCAATTCAGGGTTATGGGCTTCTGTTGTGTCTTTTGATCCATATATCACAGGCCGAAAATCACAGTAAAATTCTCTAGTTTTCTAAATCACCAATTATACTGTAAGATTTTGAGAACAAGAGGCCATATATGTTTCACTGGTCATTTTGTACACTGTCAGGCACTGTCATCCAATTTCTACTGAATGAATTAACCTTTCAATTTTTCTAAATAGCTAATTTTAAGAAAGCAGTAAGCCAGTTGTGGTGGCACATGCCTGTAATCCCAGCACTTGGGAGGCTGAGACAGAAGGATCTTTGCGAGTTCAAGACCAGCATTGGTTACAACGTGAGCTCAAGGTCAGCCTGAACTTCATAGGAAGACCATGTCTCAAAAAAAAAAAAAAAGAAAGAAAAAAAAAAGAAAAAGAAAGAAAGAAAGAAAGAAAGAAAAAAGAAACAAGTGAGTAAACAAAATAAAACCATAAAAATATTATTTAAATATGTAACCAAGAAAAAGCAGAAGTCAAGAAGAAGAAAATAATGCATCCCAAACAGTTATGTTCTGTCTGGATAAAAGCTTCCATTCCTATTTGTTACTTCACATTCAAATCCATTGTGAAAAATTCCTGCTAGATTTACCCCTTCTCTCCCTTTCAGAAAGGATATATGGGGGAATTCTCTGTGGAGATGCAACAACTGCCACATCCCAAAAACATGAACTGTAAAGGGACAGGGCTGGGAAGAATCGAGGAGACAGTCAAGGATGGGAAGTGCTTGTATTAAGACATAAGAAAATGAACCAAGCAGATTAGTAAGCATACTAAGAATAATGGGCTTCTGATTTTTCTTTTCTCTGAGATTTCATAAACTTGAAAATGTGAAAAAAATGCAAAAGTATTAGTGAACTGATGAGAATTCATAGATTCTATATAGATATGTATACCTGTGTGTATGTTCATGAATATATTCAAACCCTAATTCTGTCCATGACTTTGACCAGAAGAAATGCATATGCACATGTATTTGACATATATATGTGTTAATTTTAGCTTATATTTTCTTAGTACATGTTTGCATTATGCGCTAATTACTTTCTTTGTGGGGATTCGTTGTGCATATAGAGCACATCACATTTTTCTCACTCCCTTTCCCTCCCCTCCATCCCTCTCCCTCCATTTCACACTCCTCTTTCCATTTTAGCAAAATCTGCATCCTTACACCCCATTATCTGTGCTTTACTTTTCTCTTTATTTGTAATTTTCCTTTGGCATATTAGAGGAGCCATAATTATTGAACCTTGTGGGTCTGATTTATTTCATTTAACATCATGGCCCCAAGGTGCATCTATTTTCCTATATATGACTATTTCGTTCGTCTTTACAGCTGAGTAGTACTCCATCATGTAAAACTGCTGCATTTTTTCTCCAGTTCACCTTTTGATATATGCATGTATGTCACTTTTTAAAAATGTCTTGATTATAAAAGAAAAGGCATTTTATCACCTCACTCCAAAGTTAATCAGACAAATGAGATTATGTGTCTACATATCTGTACATACTAATGGACAAATTGCTCATAATGTATTCTTGGTGATACAAAAAAACCTATATAATTCATTACAGATTAACAAAGTAGTCTTTTTAAAAATCAAATACATACCTTATATTTGATAATATTTCATTCTCCACTGTTTTCCTACCAAGTAGAAAACCACTCTTCACTTTTACTTGATAGGAGATGTTACAAAAACTTAAAATAGCCTTTTTAGTACAGGATTTCAGGTCACTGGAGGTCATCTCTGAGAGATCATTGGTATCTCTTTGTGATAGTGGGATAGAAACCTCCACATTACTGGAGGACATCTGGAAACTTCTCCCTTGTTTTGGAAGGAAAAGCAAGCGTTAGATGAGAGTCCCACTAAATTTGATTGTAAACTCTACATAGTACATTTCAATCAATGTGTTTTAAAATGCCTTGTCAAGATAGAAGGGAATCCCCCATATATGCTATACTGCATACTGTCATCCTCCCAAAGGATGCTTACACCACTCGCCCCAGGCCTGCATGATCAAAACAAAACAAGCTTTTAGTTGCTTTATATACCTTAGGTGCTATCAACTGAGCCTGTCCTCCAAGCTATCTTGTCTTTGAAGTCAAATATAGTTTTCACTGTTTTACTTTGTTCTGATTAATTGCTGATTTATTTAATATTCTGAATTGATTAGCTTTACTGTGTTATGTCTTTGGTTTGATTCTGCTATACCTGATGAAACTGACAACTATTGCGAAGTTAACAAGATATAATATGGTAGTTATTGTTGTTTTCCTGGTATCATGCTTTGAAGTTATGTACCAATTTTGCTGCATTGTTTTTATTGGCTTTGTTCTGTATTGTTTTGTTGGATTTTACTATCTTTAAAATAAAAAATAATAAAATACATTGTCATGAGTATATTCCATGCAAATTAGCAGCCCCCAGAGCTACTTTAATACCTGTAAAGGAAATAAATGTATTTTTAAATATATAGAGTCTTATTGTCATAATTACTGAGACAAAATTGACTCTAATAAATAATAAAATTGTTACACAAGATTTATTAAGGATTAAAATGATTTCTGATGATTAGACCAACCTGACTTGAAAAGCATACTATGAGACTGAATATGTTCAGGAAAAGATTACTTGATCATCATAATTCCTCCTACATTTTATTTTCATTGGAGAGTTTATGACATTGCTGGTACCAATAGGGATTTAGTAAATCAGTCAGAAACAATATTTAATTAAAAATTAAAGGTATAATCTCAGCACTTATACAGATAAAAAAATATGAAGTTAGTAAACATGATGAATGGTACACAGAAAATATTCAGGATGAAAATTTTAGCTGGTTATGCTAGTCCACACCTATAATCCTAGTGCTCCAGAGGCTGAACAGGAGATTTTCCATGAGTCCAAGTACAAACTGGTCTAAAAGACAGTGCAAGGTCATTTAAACTGCATAGTGAAACCTTATCTCAAAAACAAAAACAAACTTTAAAAAAGGACCTATTTAATTGATTTAAATGATGAGTTTGATAAACAAATTCAGAAAAATCACACACAGAAAGATAACAGCTTGAAAGAGTAAATGGGAAAAAAGGATAAGAAGAAATAGGCTTGTCATATTTGCAAATGGAGGCAAGAGAGAGAGAAAGGAAACCTGAACAGAACCACCATTTAAAGAAATATTGGTCCAGTATTTTCCAAAACTAAAACTCCACAAATATGAAACTGGAAACTTCATGGGAGCTGATTACAAGCACACTGTAAGCAAACTGCCAAAAAGAAATCATCTCTGAGTTATTGCTTTTATACTCAAAAACTTATCATTTAAAAACACCCCACTCACTTCAGAAACTTAACATGTAGGAAATCATTTAAAGCTTGGCACCTAAGAAATTGAAAGTAAGGGGGCTGGGGATTTAGCTCAGCGGCATAAACGCCTGCCTTGCAAGCAGGCAGTCAGGAGTTCGATCCCTGGTACCGATAAAAACGAAAAAGACCAAAAATTAAAAAAAAAAAAAAAGAAATTGAAAGTAAATAGCTGAATATTAATGTGCAATTACTATCAATGGTAAAAATTAGCCAAATTTCCACTCTGCAGAAGCAGTCCCATAGGGCTCAGGTCTTCACTTTGAAAACCTGTGAACCACCTCCCTATGCCTTCTAAACCCAAATACAGATTTCCTAATTTTAGCAAACTTTCCATCTAACAACTCTTTGGATTGATGTTCTACCACTTGGACTTAGGACAATTATTTTTGTTTAAACAGCACTGTACCTCATGTTTATAGAAACTAAATGTCGATTTTCTTTAATACTAGATCTTGTTTCCACAGTATTATAATTTTTACTGAATATACTCTACAGTTTTACAATATTTTGTACATTACTACACTGCATGTAAAAGTTACACAAATAAAATCATAGTTGTCAAGGTGAAGTTTTTTTACCATTTTCTTGTTTTGAATATTTTAATGTACCTAACTATATACAACTCATCACTTAGCAAACAATCATTTTAGCAACGTAGCCTCAAGGAACCAAACTGTCATTAAATTAGGAATGTCTGTAAAGCCACTTCCAGCACCAGCCACCACATCTGCTACTGTCATGCTTATGTGATGGTCAGGTACTAATGATAGTCTTTCCTCTTCCCAAGAATTGTTAAGAGAATCTAAGAATGTATTGTTTTACTTTAAATGGGTCATTGACTAAAGACAGAACTCAGATTCTTGTGAAATTACTGACAAATGAAAAGTAAAAAAATGGAACTGAAGTACACAAGAAAATTTACCCACACCTACCCAAGACAGTGGACTAGAAATTCTAAGCACAGCAATAGCATTAAGATGATGTATAAGGAGTTAACCTTCACTGTGAGGGGATTGAGTTTGAAATTCATATTGCTCAAAACTTCAACTTCTGTCCTATGGTTCAGTCATCTCAGTAGAATGTAGAACCTTCATAGTTCACGATCGATGAAGCAGGTAATTAGATGGATTCAATCAACACATACCATATTACTGAAGTGTGGTATATTTTAAAAGTGGGAAAGAAAGGAGGAAAGAGGAAGGAGACAAACAGTCAAGCATGCAAACAAACATATCAGACACGAAAATAGAACATTTCCCCAACATGAAGAAAGAAAACTATAGTAAAAATTTTTAAACTGAAGAACATACCTCAGCATCATATAACCTAGAATATTCAATGCTTCTTAACGCAGTACACTATACTTAAGTGACTCATAGCAAGTAGTGTCTCTCAATACAAATTAGTCTTTCCTGTGGCAGCAGCTTTCTGGACACTTGTAGTGCTCTCAAAGGAATAACAGCATGTTTTTCAGTAAAGAAAATGTCTCCAATCGTGTATAGATTTCTCTGTGACAAACATATGCATCCTACCTGTTGGCTGTTCCCTGATTTCTAGAGTTCGTCTAACCCTAACTGGTTGTTCTCACTCTCTGTGTCCTAAATCCACTGAACAAACGTTAACTACACTGATGAAAGCTTCCAAGTCAATTCACAGCCCATCTGCAGTCTACTCATATTGCAGAACTAATTATAAATCTGCTGATCTTTAAATGTTCTTGTGAAGAAGAGGTTAGAGTTTCTTTTTCTCTCCAGTTGTGCTGTATCTGGGACCCTTCTTATATTGCCTTATTTTCTCTTACTGTATTTTAACCACTGAGGCCACATGTTGTTTTTTGAAAACTTCAAACTTTTTCCTTCAGTATATCCTTACTTATGTGTTATAGTAGCAATCTTAAATAAAAATGCTTATTTTATCCATTTTTATCAAAATCTTAATTGTATACTTTTCTAAAATCAGAGTGCCAAACTCAGTTTTTCTACAATGAAAACTGCACAAATCAAAGTACACAAGAGGTTTTGAAGTCCTAAAAAAGTTATAACTACTTCATATTTAGGTACAAGAGAAGGCTATATTCCCTTACATTTTTTTCTTTGCAATAATTCTAGTATGTGGAAATTTGGTCTCCACCTCCTACATATAGAGCTCCTGCATCAGCACAAACCTCTGTTCATTTTTTCCCAGTAAGATTGCAGACTAAACCTACTGGTTTCACACTGAGCTATACAACCAGATACTTTTTATTTTGTTTTGCACATTGTCTTCATATGACCCTAAATGGCCCTTCATTGCTCACATTTTTGACCTTCCTGCTACAGTCTCTCAGAGTACAGAAAACACAGGTTTATTCCAGCATTCTTGGCAAGCAAAATCCTCTAAACAATTTACTTATAATAATCCCAAGAGATTGCAATCCTGCTGGGCTATTTATTTTGGAGACTGAAGCAGAAAAGATTATTCATTGCTTGAAGGCTAGCATCATCTTCACAGTAAGACCCCACCTTAAAAGTATAAGGAGCGAGGTAGAAGAGGGATGTAGAGAAGAAGAGCAATAGTAACAATGAAAGGAAGACAGTGAAAGAAAAAGACAGAGAGAAAGAGAAACATTACAATTACAAGAAATTAGGGGCCTGATGTTTTTAAGACCAGGTGGGTATGTTTCATGCAAGATGGAGTGGGGAGGAGGCCAAAAAACATAAATTCTAATTTCCAAACATTATTCCTTATATTGAAAATATCTTTGAACAAATACTGGTTTTCATGTTGTCTCTCACTTGATGTATACACCCTGATGCAACTAGAGATAACTCTGAATTCCAAGGCTGCTCCTGAGGCTCTGTAGAACTCCACTTAACTGTATCCATAATCCAGAGGTCACAATATTACACTGGACAGACAGAAGAGACCCACTTATGAATGATGTGCATGCTCAGTGAGAAGACTTGAGACCTGAGACACACAAATAACTGTGTTTGAAGACAAAAGATACGCAAACTCTGATGTCCATAACCTGTTACTGAGGACATCAAAGGCATGATTTGTATTTTCTCCTAATGCAGTAGGAGATATAAAGATGGTTTTTCCTAAAATGTCATAAGTCTTAAATTGGGCCTACACAGCTTAGGGCAAAAGCAAGATACATATTTAATTTGTAAGACTCTAGGTCAAATCCATCTCAGCTCTACACATATCCATGTTGATCATGTAGGAAATCTTTCCAGTATGGTTTATAGCTACAATGACCCCAAATCACATGTATGCCAAAGTGAGACTTCTAGAAGTTCATAAGATACCACACCAATTGCCAGTACACTAATCCACCAATGAATACACAACTGAAAATACTGATAAAGAGGAGGCTTTATCTAAAGAGGTGGGCCACTGCAGGCAGGACATCGAAAAATGAATACATATATACATTTTTGTAATGTTTTTCTTTCTCCATCTCCCTTTCCTTC